CGTACTATGTCTGTCTAGAGAGTCACAGAACCTAGCCACCAGGGCCATCAGGTGGAGTTCCACTGAAAGTGACCTATCTTTGACTTTTGTGCCAAAGCTCTTGTTTCATCATTTAACTAACCTGCACTGAGCAGTGACATGTACTGGGCTCTTAGGGAACCCAAGGAGGGTGATCCATGAGACCTGGTGTCTGCCTTGGGGAACTCATGGTCTGATGAAAGATGCCAACCTAGAGATAAACCCTGATGAGACAGAGGCATGCTCAGGGTGCTGCAGTCTAACTCCAACTGGGACTCCCAGGAAGGCCCTTCTGGAAAACATGATGTCTGAGCCAAATTCCCTAGACCTGGTGGCCAAGGATGGAAAAGCACAGGCATCCAGTCCAGCAGAACCACATGCAAAGGCCTAGGTCCCACCAATGGGCAGGAGAGGAGAAGGGCAAGATTCACCACAGCTGCACGGGGTGTAGGAAGGGGCAAGCACAGGGCAGCTCAAGGAAGAGACATGGCCTCCAGTGCAGCCTCATGACCTTGACGGAAAGAATGCATGTTACTGGGACCAGGACACAACTGCCATGGGTGTACTCTACTGTCTCTTTCTCAGAGAAGACAATAGATGGAGGAGCAATGGGCCTGGACGCCATGCTTAGAGCTGGGTGGCCCCTCAGGGCTCAGGCAGAGAGAAATGACCACCTCCTTGACCAGCAGGGTAGCCTGAGCAGAGAGAATCAAAGACATTAAGACCATCTGGCCTGAGGGTAAGGGGGCTACAGGGAGCAGGAGTAGGGCATGCTAAGTATGAACAAAAGGGAGATGTTTTCCAGAGGCTGCCTGAGCACTGGCTGACTGGTGAGCACAGAGCTTTCCTTCATGGCAATGAAATACGCTTTGACATTTAACAAAAGGGACAGCTGGAGAGGACACCAGAAGAAGCCATCTCCCAGCCAATGGATGCTGAGGCTGGCATTTCCGGTTCGCAGGGAAGGTTACTCTCCCATGGAAGGAGCCAGCAGGCTAAGGCTGAGGCGAAGGTCCGGGCTGCAGCATCTGGAGCTTGGGGATGGATGAGGTGTCTGCATTAGTGTACGGCTCTCACGCTGTTCCCTTCCCCTTGGGGACAGAGCCAGGCAGCCTTCGGTGACCTTCACACATAGACACAGAGCCTATGGCCTCAGCTTTAGAAGTGTGCTTGCTGAGGTCACCCCCGGGGTGTTCACCTCTCTAAAGTGGCCCCATCCTCACAAGTGTGAGGAATTCCTCTGGCCAGTGCCCCCCTGGGGGACCCCACCTAGCCTTCTTCCTGCTGGTGACACCTTCCCACACCTTTCCCCTGGCCTCTCAGAAAGGCTGTCTGTGGGGACTGCCTCATCCAGAATGAAGTCCACTCAGGGAGACTGGCGGCTGGTCTTGGGGGGAGTGTATTTTTCCAATGTCTCCTCTATTGACCTTTAATTACATTGTTTGCCCAGCTTCCCAAACCATTAACTTCCACCTCGCAGCAACCACACATCAATTAATGGAGGGCCTGCTCCAAGCCCGAGCTCCTGAACACAATTAAGCGTGACAGTCCACAAATAAGAAAGAACTGGAGAATTAATTAAGGTCTAAACAAATTAATTACCAGTCCCCATCGATTCCAATGCCAGCACACATGCTCCGGGCTCACCGTCTTTCCTAACATCTCCACGTATAAATAGAAAATGAGCTTTCCCACGTGACTGCTGTTCTAGACCGGGGCACAGTACGTCTCTAAAACCACCTTAAAGAAGAGAAGTGGCTGCAGGGAGCATCTCAGAGCTCCCCACCTACACAGCATGCGCACATGCACAACTGCTAGTCACACACATGTGCACACATGCACACACATGCACATTCTCAGAATTCCAGCTGAACAAATCAGGGGCAAAGCAGGAGTTGGAATGCTCCTAGCAGGACACTGAGTGGCTTCAGCCACCTCTGGACATCTCTGTTTCTCAGCTATTATCCATGTACGCTTGAAATGGCCCTGGCTGAGCCTGAAGCCTGGGTTGGGCCAGTTCAGTATAACTTTCAGCAAATTTGAATTTGCCTACTTTTCTATAAAATGAAGATGGCACACACTGTGTCTGGGGCCTCACGGCACACAGTGAGGATCAGTGACAGGGAGGAGATCTGGGTAGCGCCTGGCAGTCCACAATTCTGCAAACCCAGGGGAGGCCTTGGGGCCTGGGGAAAAGGTCCCAGAAGCAAGCAAAGGGACAGGCATCTTGTGCTGGACCTCACTCTCAACAGCATGGAGCTTGGAGAGGAGACATTTCCTTCCACCTCGTTGCAGCCTAAAAGAGAGCTGGTGTGGGCTGAGTGTGGTGGTGCAATCTGCAATCCCAGCAGCTGGGAGGCTGAGGCAACAGGGTCACTGCTGGTTTGAGTCCAGCCTGGGGTACAAAGTGAGTTCAAGGCTGGCCTTAATTACATAGAGACTCTTTCAGAGAGACAGAGAAAGAGACAGAGACAGACAGAGACAGAGACAGAGACAGAGAGAGAGAGAGAGAGAGAGAGAGACAGAGAGAGAGATGGCCTGAGCACAGGACACACAGGTCTCTTTAGCACCCCCATCACCACTAGTATCCCCTTTTAACACACACACACACACACACACACCCTCCCAACCACTGGGCTTCACATGCTCCCTTCTGTCTGTCTCTGCCTACTTCCCACATGCGTACATTGCTCACTGACTCCTGCCCTCCCTTCCATCATGCCAGTGGCCTGAAGCAGCAAACAACCTTTTACAAAGTGAAACACGTCCTGAGTAAGCTTCTCAGCAGCCTTTAGCAGGGGCGCAACCTGCCTCAGAAACAGGGGCAGGGGCCGGGAGATGGCTCAGTAGAATAAGCGTTTGCCTGGCAAGCACAAGGGCCTGAGTTCAATCCCCGGTTCCACCAAAAAAAAAAAAAA